GACATTCAGAAACAACTGGGAAAAAAATGAATCATCCCTTTGCTGTTCTCAGTGCACCAAAATAGGTTCTTTCTTCCCCCTTCCTTTTAATTACATGTATTTATCTGGATGCCCCTACCTCATAGAATTTATAAAAGGAACAGTGACTTTATCCCATTTTTTTTCCCAAAGCCCTTGCTGGGGACCAGTGAGAAGATGGCTCAGCAAGCAAGGACACTTGGTGCCAAGCCAGACAATTTGAGTTCTAACCCCGAGACCCACAAGGTAGAAGGAGAGAACTGTCTCCTACATGGAGGCCATGATAGACACACATGGGGGGAGGTGCTCAGCTGCTTCAGGGTGCTTGCACTCCACAAAGCCCCCCTTCCTCTAACGCTCCTCACGCTAAATGCTCCTCGCTTAGCTCTCCTCTCAAGGGAACAGGCTTCCCCTCTGGTCCTTGTTTCTTTTGCCTGGTTTCATTTGATATCCCCTGCTCCATCGTCATAACATGGCTAGAGGTGAGCGCATGGCGCACGTGCTCGCGACAGATATAGCCAGCCGGAGTCATTTTCCAGCTCACCTTTCAGGAGCTGCCAGTGCCCCTTCCAAATAAGTCAGAGGACAAATAGCTCATGAAACCATCCTTCCTGCCTCGCATCTGATGTCACCACCATCAGTTGAGCCTCCTAAGGTGAATTCTTAGTCATCCTCGATTTCTGCCTCATTCTCTGCGTCTAGTCGGCTTGTCGGTTACATGTTTCCCATACCTCCGGTCTCGGTCTCACTGATCCGCTGCTTTGCTTCAGACATCAGCCTGCTCTATTGCGGCTCTATCACTTCTGAAGGAATTCTTGGCTATTCCCATTCCAGGCAGCCTTCCTACCTATGATTGCCAGAGGCCTTCGTCCTAAGCCCTACGTCTGTCTGATGGTGTCCCCTTCATGCTGGAAAGCTCTGTGTGCTCTCCTCACACGGGACAAATTTAAACATCTTGGTGGTGTGTACAGAGCCTTTTGTAGTACATAAGCCAATGTGTTCTTTTCTTTTTGTTTTCTTTTCTTTTGAGACAGTCTCATTTGTAGCCGTGGCTGTCTTGGAACTCCCTGCATAGATCAAGCTGGCCTCAAACTCACAGAGATCCTCCTGCCTCTGTCTCCTGAGTGCTGTCTTTTTTTTTTAAAATAAAACATTGAACTGTTTAGATGGGTTCTAAAATATTAAATTGTTTAAATATTTTCTTTGCAGTTTTTAAAAATTAAAATATATTATTTCCTTCTCCTAGATTCCTTAGAATGTGTTAATATCTGCAGCTTATCAAATGATTTAACAAAATAAAAAAAAATGTTTAAACCTAAATGCTGGGAATCCAAAACTCAGGCCCTTTGGCTTGAATGGCAAGCACTTTACTGACTGAGTCATCTCCTGGCCCCTATACAGATCTTAAAAAAAAAATTTAGATTTTTAAAATTTATTTTAAATATATTTTATCTGTGTGTGCCTGTTGCCTGAGAACGCCAGAAGAGGCCATCAGATCCCCTGGACCTGGAGCTGTGGATGCTTGTGAGCCTCCATGTGGGTGCTGGGAATTGAACCCAGGTCCTCCTCAAGAGCAGCCAGTGGTCTTAACCTGCTAAGCCATCTCCATAGCACCCCCTGTACAAATTTATGAGCTAGAACATTCTGTGGTGTGCCGTATGGATTTGTACAAGTAACCCACATTAGGTGGGCTAATGACCCTGGTGTCCCTGGTGCCCTGTGCAGCAGTGTGCCTGCTGCCGTCAGAGCTCATTCTTGCTGGATGAACGCAGGTGATGGATTGTGCCAGTACCGTCCGGTTATGATGGATCGCACCAGTACCGTCTGGTTATGATGGATCGCACCAGTACCATCTGGTTATGATGGTTCGTACCAGTACCATCTGGTTATGATGGATCGTACCAGTACCATCTGGTTAGCAATCATCTCTGATCACACCTGCGTTTTTCTTTTCCCCTGTGGCTCTTCTCGCTACCAGCAGCGTCACCAGCAAGAGGTTCACTATTCTCTCCCCACCCTGCCTCTTGAGTTCTGTGGTTATGCTCTAGATCTACTTTATAGGAAAATGGGCCTCAGACTCAGACTGGCAGGTATGAGCCTGGGAGATACTGTAACCCTGATTTTCCAATCCACGAAGACTTTGTATATTGCTGCTCAAATGCCCCAGATCCAGATCAGTTCCTTCCCATTTCATGGTGAGGAAACTGAGGTTTTGCAGTGTTCAGTGGTTTGCCCCAGATCATCCAGGTAGCACACGGAAGCATGAGAACCACAGTTGTGGCGTTCCTCTTCCCGGTATTCCCTGATACCAGCCCCAAAATTCCATCTCTCCATCTGTCTTGTTACCAGAGACCAAGGGCTTTTCTTGAATCTGGAAATACTCGCTTCTTAGAAAGACTCAAGCCCGAAATCCCTTTTTATGTGGAATTTCTAATCCAGTACCGCAGAGATTTCCTACTCGGAACTAATAGAGACTAAGGGGACAGAAAGCAGGTGCAGCTGATGCCAGTGCTGGCGAGACTCTGTCCTTCCCCGCATTAACGTTGAGTGTCTCTCCATCTTGTGAATTTGCCTCGGTTGATCTCACGGTTCTTTTCCAGAGACTCCTCAGTTATGTTTTTTTAAGAGGAGCAGAACAGGGAGGCTGAGCACGGCTTGAGGGCTGGGCCAGGAGACTAACAAAGGCAGCATTATGCTGCTCCTGGCAAGGCCAATAAATGAATTCAAGAGACACCTAGATGTGTTTCTAGAGGAGGGCATGCGGGAGGGGCCTGGTGGAGAAGCAGAAAGGTGGGGTTAAGATAAATTAAAATGGGGCCAGCCTGCTGGATAAGGGGGTCAGACTTCTTGTTCTACACAGTTGGAAAGTTAAAAACTAACCTGCACCATGTCCTTCATAGTCGCCCTGCTGGACCTTCCCTCTTGAGGGGAAGGAGTTCATCCCTGGCTGTTTCAGCGTGTGCAGCCGTGGGTTATTGTCTGAGTCCCTGGGAATCTTAGAACTTCTACCTAAAAAGGAATTTTGAACTAACTAGCCCAAAGAGTCTGAGATTTTTGTTCCTATACCCAAAGCCTCAACATCACTTGGGGATTTTTTAAGAGTCAGCTGAATGAAAAACTCTGTGAGTAGGGCCTGTGGTAGTGTAACTGAGTCTGCCCCTTGTTTGCTCAGATGTTTGAATACTTGGTCGCTGGTTGGTGGCACTGTTTGGGTAGTTTAGGAGGTCTGGCCTTGCTGGAGGAAGTATGTCACTATGGGCAGTCTTTGATGTTTCAAAGCACCTGCCATTCCAGGTTTGCTCCGTCTTTGCGGTTCAGGATGTTCAGGATGTGAGCCCTCAGCTAGTTAATCCAGCCACTGTGCCTGCTGCCTCTACCCCACCATTGTGGACACATAAGCCCAGTTTCTTCCTTAAGTTGAGTTGGTCACTGCTTTATCACAATAATAAGTAGCTAATACAGGGGCCAACAGGATTTTTATTTTTAAAGCAAGCCCTTATGTTTCAAAACCAGTGCCCCTGATCTGACCCTGTCTTTTACCTAAAGGAGAGCCAGAGAGATGAGTCTAAATCAGAAACTGACTGGGTAACCCAGGCTGTCTGCTTGTCGGTTCTTAGAGCTCTTTTTGCTGGGGTCGGGGGTTAGGTATGGGCTCACACCACGTGATGGTTAAGGACCTGTGCAGTGGTGGCAGCCGCATTCCTTCAGCACTTTCTCTTCGCCGGGCACTTTATGAGAGCTGTCTGGCTTTGCCCTCTTAAACCTGTCTATCTACAAGATAGCATCCCACCCTCATATTACAGACTAGGAAACTAGAGACCGGGGAAAAGAGTGTATTTGTTTCTGGTAGCAGCTATTATCACAAACTTGGTGGCCTGAAGCAACAAATTAATTCTCTCATAGTCCTAGACTCTAGGACCTAGAAGAGAAAACACCAATTTCTCTGGGCTGAGATCAAAATGTTGCTTGACCTGTGCTCCTTCTGGTGGTTCTGGGGGAGGATCTATTTCTTCCCCTTCTAGCCTTGCTGACTGCCAACATCCCCTGACGGTGGCTGCATCTCCAGTCTACCTCTGGTCTCATCTCTCTGGTTCAAATCTCCCTCAGCCTATCTCTTGGAAAGATGTATGGAATTGCATTTAGGGCCTTTCCAGATATTTCAACTGATTCTACATCTTCAAAGTCTTAATCAGGCCTACAGATTTCTTTCTTTCTTTCTTTCTTCCTTCCTTCCTTCCTTCCTTCCTTCCTTCCTTCCTTCCTTCCTTCCTTCCTTCCTTCCTTC